TGAGGACTGCCTGGATTCTGCAGCCAGTTCCTGCTGAGAATGATTGCCTTTACTGGGAAAGAAAAAGGCAAGATGGTGTTTGTATAATATGCCTTGAGGAAGAATTGCGCAGCCCTGCAGTTGTGTGGCTGTTCCTCTCCAGCAGCAATGCTGGATTTAAACAGGAGAGGGCATTCATGACCAAGCATCTGAGTGTGCTGAGGATTCTCCGTTTCTTAGAAGGGAAGACATTTGAAAATGGTAACTTTTTTTTTTTTAATGATTAATAAAGGCTTATCATCCAAAAATAAATCTTCTCTAGACATCATGTACCAAAAGGAGTATAAATAATTACATATTAAAACCTGTCTAGTAAATGAATGTTTGAGGTGCCCTTAAGCAGCACTATCCCAAAGGCAGACAAAACCCCAGAAAAATCAGGAGGGTTTGAACAGCATGTTAATATTTTCTTTTCTAAAACTATGGTGAGCTCTTAAAGACACTACAATGGGGAGAGCTGGACTGGAAGCTGAACCAAGACTGATGAAACCCTGATGCTGTTCCTGGGTGCCATCTGTGAGCTTGATATTTGGTGGGTTTGTGCCTCAGTTTCCTCTCTTAAAAGTGGGATTAAATGTTAAAAACTTCCATAAGCATGAAAATGACAACACTGTTGGCAAGACATGGACAGTAGCTTAAGCTCACCACATCAAAGCTAGCCAGTCAGTATGAGTAATGCTAGTCACAGATATTTTTATATTTTCCCCTTGTTGAGAAATAACTGCATTTTTTCTGTGCATACCAGGCTTTCTCACACTGTTCAGCTGAGAGAGCTTGGATGAAAAGACACCTTCCCTAGGAATTTGTAAAATAAATTATAAAAGGTGTGTTGCTAGGCCACAGATGAAAACAGAAGTGTCTTGGTTAGCAGGAAGTGGTCTCTGCATCCTCCCTGTGCAGCTTGGAAAGCTGTATTCCCATTCCTACTTTATCTCCAGTGATATCTGTGTTCTATAAATAGGTTTATCTGCTGTCCCAGCATGAAGGGAGCTGACATGACCTGGTGACAGGCCCTTTGTTATTCACAATCCAGAGGGTATCATTTACAACAGATGGGGGATGCCCACAGTGCCTTGTGGGAATGCAAATACAGACACATGCCGTCCACCTCAGGTAAGGATAATCTGCTTTGGTCTGCAAATTTTCCTGTGGACATTGGCAAAGTCACCTCACCACCATCTGAGACAGCTGAGCAGTCCTTTGGTACCAAACTCCCCAGCTCTCCTTCTTTTGGAAGTTAGGTGTACAAACTGCTCTGATTCTAAGGCACTTTGTAAACCCTGAGATAAACAGAGGGAGGTAGGAAGCAGGGAGCTCATTTCTGAATCCTCTCCCTGCACTTGCACCCTTCTAGTAGCCCTGAACAGTGTGCTGGCAGGGTGGTGGCTCTGGGCCAGGTCTGGCTGCCTGATGAGGAGGTGGCAGCCAGCTGCAGGATCCCCATCTGTGACCTTCAGGGCTCAGCAAGAGCCTCAAGGCTGCAGCTCCTTCCTGCTATCTCTGCTGACATGACAGGAAAAAAAGACAGGAGAAGAATAAGGACACTTCTGGTATGCACTGGCCCAGGCAGTTTCAAATGAGCACTGTGCTTTAGGAAAAAATATGGTTTATTATTTAAGCTATTCTGTAAGCAAAGCAACATGGCTTGCCTTTTCCTCACAATGATGGAGGGCATGCAGAACAGCTGAATATGCAACTGCTGTTTAATTCAAGACTTAAGCAGTGTCATTAAACATATTTTCTTGCAGAGAAAAATTACTTCAATAGCAAATTGCATTTGTCTCACTTGTGAAAATACAGCTTATTAAGGGTGTTGCTTCTTCTATTTTGTAGGTGTTAGTCTGGCTATTTAATTAAGGGTCTGACAGTATTTTCATTAAAATATTTTCATTTTTCAGGATGTGTAAGCCTTAAAAATGAAAGCTTAATGGGTGAGTCTCCTTTTCACAAGCCAAACAGCACTGCAACGACATAGCTACCTAAAAAATGAAAAACAAAGGAAAATGAAAGGAAAAATAGATTATATTTCTAGGTTCTCAGAAGCCTCAGGGCAACACCAACTGAAGGTGCATAAAGACCTAAGTATATATTCCCCTGCACATATGAGATTAATGAACATTTTTCCAGATTAGTAACTGCTAAATTAGTAGATCTCTGCATTAACATATGAACAGATTGCTGCAAATGTAAGCAATAATTGAGTAGTTGTAGCAGATTGCTGCTGCTTAACTGCAACGCTTAGCTTCAGCTCTCCCCGTTTAGGAGGTAATCACGACTTCAGGGTTTATTAGAGCAAAAATGACACGTGTTTGCAGCCAGCTCTCCTGGGTGCATTCCCACCCCAGGTAAATCCTGGGTGATGCTCCAGGCTGCACCTTGGAGCCCAGACCAGACAGTGGCGGCTTGCCCTGAGTTTTAGGGTCTGCCTTTAGCACGATATCCCTGTTATGAATAAAAAGCTTGACTAGGTCAATATTCAAGCAGCATTTAATTTATTAATTAATATGGTAAAGTATGAGGAATACAATGCTGGGTACAGTGGGGGAAGTTTTCCCTCCAACTGCACACCGATAGTTGAGGCTTACAAGTATTTATAGGGGTACTCATAAGCTTTCTCAGCAGTTTTTATTTCATTTTTTTTTACATCACAATTCTATACACTATTGTGATTTAATTTTTCTCAGGATATGTCCCAAAAGGAGTATCCCCAGATGGTGGTGGTCCAGTTTCCGAAAGAAGAAAGACGAATCCCATCTGGTGGGGTCCAGCTCCCCAGATGTGGGTCACACATCTTTAATTGCAAAGACTATAAATCTCATAACAGTGATGTCCAGCTTCCCTTGGTTGAAACTATAAATCCTTGAGTTGATGTTCATCTTCCTTTCTCAAGCTCTTTTTTTCTGCTTTATTAAGGAGTGAGATAAGCATATTTCCTTTATATATATTCCAAAGCTATAGTTTCAAGGATACAAGCAATATTCTAAAATTATACTTCAAAAGGTTATTATTGAAGAACTCTTTAAGGATTAACTACAAGCAAAAAGCAACATCCTTAACACTTTAATTCCAATGCTCCTAAATCAACTAAGGTGAATTGCAAACAAAAGATAGGTTTAAAGGCCTTCTTCCATGCTTTACTTTCCTCAGTCATTATTAGAATTCGCAACTGTCCCATTGCCGCTCTCCACAAATACACACATTGCCTGTGTGTACCTAACACGAAACACAGCTTTGTATTTCACATGGCCCAGAGCCGGCGGGGTTTGGGGTGTGTGGGGGGACAGGAGCCGTGAGAGTCGGCGGGGTTTGGGGTATGGAGGGACAGGAGCCATGAGAGCCGGCGGGGTTTGGGGTGTATGCGGGGCACAGGAGCCCGGAGGGCCGGCGGGGTTTGGGGTGTATGAGGTGCAGGAGCCCTGAGGCTGGCGGGGTTTGGGGTGTGAGGAGCAGAGGAGCCCCGAACGCCGGCGGGGCTGGGGCTGGGGCTGGGGCTCGGGCTGGGGCTCGGGCTGGGGCTGGGGCAGGGCCCGGGCGGGGCCGGCCGCGTCCTCCTGGCAACGGCGCCTTAAAAGCGGGCGGGGGCTGAGGCGGCGGCTGCCGCTGCCATGGCTCACGGCAGCCCCGTGGTGAGTCCCTAGGCTTGGCTCAGTTAGGCTCGGCTCGGCTCAGTTAGGCTAGGCTAGGCTAAGCTAAGCTAGCGGGGTGTGGCCGCTCCTCCTTGCGGGAGACGAGCATGAGCAAGTCGCGTCCCGGCCCCAGCCTGGGTGGGAGCCGCCGCCCGTTCGCTGGTGTGGGAAGCCCAAGGACGACGTCGAAAGCTTTTTTCTTTCTTTTTGAACTTTTAAGACCTTTTTCTGTTGAAAATGTCCGTTTGTGGGCAAAAGCGTTGTGGCAGGGGTTGGTCCTGGCTAGCTGCGGGGTGCGACGGACACTTGGCTGCTGTGGCAGCCCGGCGGTGCCAGGGAGGGCGGCGGAGGCCTCTGTGCCATGGCGGGGTCTGCCCGCTGCTGCCTCTCCCGTCCTGGGGCTGCCTCTCCCGTCCTGGGGCTCCCTCCAAGGACGGGAATCCCAGGAGAGGGAGCCTTGGAGGCTTTGCTGGAATGGGATGTGGATGAGCCCCTCCTGCCACCCCACTGCACACGAGTAGAACCGGAGACGGACAGTTCCCGCTATGGATGGCCTGGTTCTGGCGAAGGAATGTAAAGGGATTCAGCTGGAGTACAATAGTGGCTGTGCTGTAACAATTTTTCTCTAATTTGCAAGCATGTGGTGGTTGAATTTTACAGTTGCTGTGTGCCGTTTTTATATAGCACAATAAATATTTGTACTCACTGTAGCTTGGCAATCCTGGGGAGAGGAATAGGCCCGTTGAAAGATTTACATTTAGATTCTCTTCTGGATTAGCGCTGAAGGCACAGCATTTGACATATGGGCTGATCAGCAGCTTTTAGTGTAGAAGTACAAGAGGAAACTTTTTTCCCCCTCTTCATCTTTCTAGTATCCTGAAAATGTCCTGGGGGACTCCTTGGAGGTTGATAACCCCTGATAAGAAATTACACATGAGTAAGGTTGTTTTAAAGTAGTTGTGTTGGTTGCATTTTCCAGAAAGTGTAACATGTTACTTCTTAATCTCTTCTTTTCGTTGAAAAGAAATTGTTTGTCATCTGCACTTTAAAACAACTTTGGATAAGTAAAATATTAATTTGATATTTAAAAAAATATATTATTAATCCAGAATCCTGTAAGGTTTCCTAAAATATCTCTGCTTCATTTTTCACCTTGTGTAGGCTATTCTGGTGGTAATGAGAGTCAAGATTAATAAGCTTTAAATTGATAAAGGCTCATTATCTTACATTTGCATTGGAGTGTAGGAATCTTGAAGCTCATGTGTATGTGCTGTCCAGGTCTTACTGGAGAATTAGGATTTAATCACTGACATCATGGGCAGAAGAAGGAATAAAATGTTCTGTTGGAGTCCTATTGTAATGTAAGATGAATGATCTGCATTGATAAAAGTAGTGTTCAAATTTCCAGTTAGGTTACTATGCAGCATCAGACTGTTTCCACAAAAAAAAAAAAAAATCTCAATTACTTTTTGTGGGTTCCTCACATTCTGCTCCTGATGGAACTGGCAGGGTTCATTTTTTAATACTTGTGTTATTAGTTGGCCCTTAGATTAGGAGCAATGATTGCAGTACGATACAATGGGGTTAGACAAGCTTGTTTGAAAATACAGCACAGCAATGGCTTTTGAATGTTTCTAGGATTTTCTTAAGCATTTGCCAAATTACTAGTAGCCTAAACAATAATTTGAGGCTCAAATCAAGTATTTTTTTAGGGTGTTAGATTTAAAAGAATGAACAATATGAAACAGATCAGTTTCATAAACTGAATGACAAATGCAAACGTCTGCATTTGTCATTCAGTTTCTGAAACTGATCTGTTCATGCTGTTCAGTTTGTAACAGCAATTTGTGAAGTGAGATTAGACTTTGTGCTATCTTTTCCAACGACTTAATGCTCATCTTAACTTGCAAACATTTATTTTTCCCTAATGTAGCCTGAGCTATACAAGTCCATCATTGAAGATGTGATTGAAGGTGTGCGGGAGCTCTTTGCAGAGGAGGGTGTAGAGGAGCAGGTTCTGAAGGACTTGAAGCAGGTTTGTTGGGTCCCCTTGCATTAATAGCAGCTGTATTTGTGTTGTCTTTTTCTGTCGATTTCCTTGCTCTCCAAAACATGCAAACTTTTGCCCTGGCTTAAGAGTTACAAGCACCCTGTGAGTAGTGTGGGGGCTCCTGGGAGTTGAAATGGGTTTGTTTTTGCTGCCCTATTTGTTGGATACAATCAGTCAATTTACTCTTGGAAAAGCTGGGAATACCTGATTATCTCTTTTGATGCAGTTTGTTTTTAAAGCTGATGTTTGTTGACCGTAATAATCTTGCTGCAGCTTTGGGAAACGAAGGTGACACAGTCCAGAGCAACAGAAGGCTTCTTCAAACACAGCCACTGCTCTCCACGGTTCAGCCTGCAGCTGCCACACAGCTCTCACAGCCTCTTGCAGACTTCAGCAGGTCAGGTGTTGTTGGACGCAGTGCATGCAATTTAAGAATATCTCGTTGACTTAGGGATATATTTGGAAGACTTGAAGTAATCTTGGTTTGTGTATATATCTAGTTTAATGTGGAGCAGTAATTCTTTGAAAGCAGGATTTGACCAGTAAGTGATGAATTAAGCTTTAATAAATGAGTAGGATTCTCTCTACATGCTTTTGATCAGCTGCTCATTTCCAGTGGTAAAACATGCAGAGTTCTAGCCTCCTTGTCTGCAGTCCTCCAAGTCTGAAGTGCTTGTAGCACTTCAGTTGCAAATTTACCTGCAGGGTTAAGCTCCTGCTTCCCCTTTTAATGTGTGTCCTGATGTGCAGAGGTTTTATGGCTCGTTTGTGCCATGCAGTTCTGCTGTCAGGTTGGGGCTTAATCTCCTTCTCAATTTGTTAAAATGTAATCCCTTGCTCAAACAGAAGAGAGGGAGCTTTTTGGTTCATCTTTCAGTTAGTTTTTCTAAAAGCAGCAGTCCTGTTGCAGAGGAGTACTTGACTTTCACTGACATCAGGACCTATTCCTCTTAATAGAGTCCAGCTGAGCACTGTGGTATTGTTGTGGTAGAGTGTGGAACTCAGCTGAGACTTATCCCAAAGTGAGAGGCTGTTAGGATCTTTGCCCATGAAGGACAAACCCCAAATGAGATGATTTAATGAAAATCCATGTTGTAGTGTATTTCAAGCTTGGGCAGGCATTCTTTATCAGTGGGGTTCTTCACTTTCTTCTCTTTTTTTTCCCCTTCCTTGCTTGTGTTTGGTTTTTTTTTTTACAGTCTTCCTAGTTGAATGAACTGTGTTTGGAGGCAGGTGTTTTATTAGTTCCACGTGACTAAAGGAAATATACTTTTGTGTTTGCAGGCTACTGGAGGTTTTATATTTAATGAGCCTTTCCTTCTTACCCTTAAGTTTTTAAAGGGCAATACTATGGCCAAGCAGTGTGAGTAAATCCATTTGTTTCTAAAAAGGGGATTTGAATTGCCCCATGGCTAGAGATTTTCAAAGTAGTTAGGGCTACCTAAATTGCTTGCTTCTAAAAGCCCAGGAAAGTTTTCTCTTTGCCCTTTTTTCTCCCATGGAATTCAGTATTGGGTGCTGTTGGAAACCTTGTCCTACTGTTCCTACTTTTAGCATCATTGGATTTGCTCTGCTGTGATAAAACTACTTGCATGTTTTCCTCAAGTTGACAAGGCAATAGTTGTGCTCACTAATGAGGATGAACTGAAGTTAGATTGCTTTAGTTTCACCCATGTTTGCTATAAATTGTTGAATGATAACTGTATCCAAGAAATTAATGTTTTTTGTAAAGTGACTTTTTAAATTTTTTTACAGCTTCTTATGTCATCCAAGCTGGCAGAGGCTTTCAGCATTTCACAGCAGCAAAACTGGTATGTGGCTGTAGTGATGTTTTACTTCAATTTTGATTATGTTGGACTCCTAACTTTTTAAAATTGTTTTCCAGTTATTAATAGGCTTCAGGAGGGAGAGTTGTAACACTGCTGCTTCTGTTGGAGCAGTGAAAAAGGATGGGCTGTACCAGCTGGTTCTGCAGGAAGTGAAGCCAGAAATGTTGGAAAGACACAGCTGCCTGTATTTAGCCCATAGGATTAAAGTGTAGTGGAAATGGCACAGCTACATAGACTTTTAAAAGAAAAAATTTATTACTGGTTGTTAAAATAGTGCATGGCTGGGAAATACTACCACTAGGGAAGCTGGGAACAGCATTATCTGTGAGGTGTAGAAATCATCCAGAAGGAAAATGAGTGTTCTTATAGTTGACAAGTTTGGAACTCTGGGCATAGCAAAATTTCTTTGGGGAGCAGCCACTGATTGCCAGAGCTTGATGAACTTACTGAGTGCCTCCTGAGCCTCAAGCTAAGTAGCTTGTCAAGTTGAAATATAATATTGGGATGATGTTTGTGCAATATGTGCGTTTCCTGATTGAAAAGTTGGATTTCCTCAGAAGAGCTAGATTGAAAGGGAGGTGTATATCCAACTCTCTGCTTCCCAGGAGGAAGAGAGACTAGGAAGTGACTTCATAGGCCTGGGCAAGAAACCTGTGCTGTGTGGAGTAATGCATAAACTGTGTCATTGCAGAATATTCTTCATGGGTACTTCAGGGGATTATGGAAAAAGTTGCCTTAACAAAATGGGGGTGTGATAGCTGGAAATCAGGAAACACCTGGGGAAAGCCATTGCTCTGTCAGTGCAGAATACTCTTCATCTGTGTAAATCTCAGCAGCTTTCCAGTGAAGATGCCCTCACTGCTGTTTCCCATGGATACTCCAGGAGTGGCACTCAGTGCCCTGCCCTGCCTAAGCCCAGCTCTTGTGTTGCAGGGCCCCCCACGAGTGGGTGTGACTCTTGCTCTCCCTTCCTGTGTTGCTTATCCTTTGCAGATGCCAGCTGGGGTGATGCTGCAGCCAGCACCAGGTAAGGGTAACAGGGGCATATCAAACCTTGCAGGGCCCTGGGGGTGTTGAAGGACAGTCCCAGGGACAGTAGATGGAACAGATGAGAAGTTAAAGTGTAGGGTAGAGGCAGTTTCCCTCCTCTTTGTACTTTGTTTTTGTAGTGGCTGTGTGGAGGAAGTAACTGCAATGATTAGTTGGTGTGTCAGTTTTACAACTCTTAACAAGTGCTTTCCTTTGTTAGCCCAGACACAGGGATCTCCTTCTTCCTGTCTCTCTGGGACAATCTTCTGTGCTTTCAAAAAGCTAAAAGCACTGTGGTGCTTCAGAGACAAAATTGATTTCTTATTCAAATAAAATTCAACTATCCATTAACCTTTTTGATCCTGTTCTTTTGGTGATAACGCTGCTTGTACAAAAACTGCTTGAACTGTTTTGGAAAGCTTAGTTCAGTCATTGACTCTTCTCTCAAACAGCCATTCTTTGATGAAAACTGACATCTCTAGTTATCTGTTTCAGGCATAATTCCTGATGTCATGAGACCTGTAGACTGGTACCAGTAACTCTGTCTGTGTGAACATGTGTGTATGGGGAAAAGTCAAATTAAATTTGGAACTTGTCTTCTAAACTTGGCATCTCAATTCTGACCCTGATAGTAATAACTTTAGGCATTCAGTATTTGGAGTGGTTTTCTTAAGAAAAGATACATAAATTAGGGGTTGGTTGGTGTTTTTAAAAACTAAAATTAGTTTTAGGTATTAGATGTTCTCTCTAAAAAAATTTAAGGTGTTTAGAGAGAATACCTAAATGTCCTAAAAGGCATGAACTTGCCCTGTAGCTATGGACTAGTTTACTGTTTCATCTTATATTCCTTAGTTTCTGAAATGACATGGAAAAGTTAAAACCCAGGGTATTTATTTATTTATTGATTTATTTAAAATCCAGTATGTAATTAAATTATTGAACTTACTGTCACAGGTACTGCGTAGGCCAGACCCAAAAAGAGGTGTTAAACATGATGGACTGGCTGGAAGCCATGATTCAGAAAGCTTCTGAATGCCTGATTTTCCAGGGCTGGAATTGTGCTTGAGGAAAGTTTTGCTTTGCAAATGTCCTTTTTCTCATAGTTTGTCCTGGTGTTTGCTCTTGTTTTTAGTGGGGGCATGTCAGTGGCCTGGATGAGCCTGTGGTTTCACCTGCTGAAGCAGTTTTGGACTCTTCTCTCTGCAGGGCAGCTTTACAAGGTGAATGTGCCTGTTGTGGTCACACAGGCCTCGGGAGATGGAAACCTTCTCCACTACCCTGTGCAGCAGATGTTTCATCCCCTTGGGCAAGCTTCAGTTCTGCAGGCCAGCCTGGCCAGTGTCACACAGCTGAGTGCATCTGCTGCCCATGCAGCTGGTGAAACACTGCAGCCCCAGGAGGCTGCGCTCCAGCAGGCTGTGCTGTTTAAACCGAGCAATGTGGAGAAACAACACCTGGAGAACTCTGCTCCCTTGGTCCAGCAGCCTTCTGTGAGTCTGCAGAAATATGAAATTAATGCAGTGTTGAATCAGTGCAGTGAATCCACAGAAAAATTCCAGCATGACAACCTTCACACAGCTGTGTTTACTCCAGAATGCTCTGAAGGACTTTTTATTGATGAATCCTTGGCAAGCAGCTCGAGCAGCATCCTGCTGGATGTGGAGGGGCAGCTGGACATGGAGCACCCAGAGCTGCTGCAGCAGCAGGTGTCTGATGATATCATTGACCTGATTATTGCAGGGGAAAGCTTGGATGGAAATGCATTCCTGAAGGATCAGGGCAGCATGGCTTCCTCTGACAAGGTAAGGCTTTTGTTTCTCTGCTAATGGAAATACTTCTGTTAGAGGGGGTGGTTTGAACACATCTCTAAGTGACAACTAGCTCCTCTAAATGAGAAGAACAAAAGTTGTTTTGATTTTATGGTTCAGTCTTAAGCTTGTTTAGAATAGCAGTTGCTGACTGCTTGTTTTTACATTAAGAATTTGTCAAAACTGCTGCTAAAATACTGTGATTGATGAGAATATCAATTTAAAAATACATTCTATCTATGCATTACATTTTTCAGTATTAGACTTATTGATTACTTTTGGGTTTTTCTTTGTGACTAAGCAGACATGAAAGACTCCTTGAGAACTTCCATATCATTCTGGCATGATCTGCATATGGATACTGGTCAATTGTGAGCAAAGTGCTTTTGCAGGATCAGCTGGGATTAATTTTATCTTGTAATGTGTGAAGAGCATTAAAGATGTATTGAGACTGCATTCAGGATGAAAAGTCAAATTTGATAAGTGAAAATCTCCTTGAAGAAAATGTATTTCCTTGGGGAAAAAGTCCTGGATAAACTAGAACTCAGCTAGAGCTGTGTGGGAAACTTGAGTGATTTTAATTAACAAGCCTCTTTCCTGACCTCATCTAATTTTAGTGCCTGAAATGATTTGCAGATGTTTGAAGTTCAGGCTGGCTCGGTGACTTTGAGTCGTAGTGCTCATATGTGATTGAGACAAATTTATTAAATGCAAATTTAATGACAGTAATGCCAAATGTCTGTAAATAGAAAGTGTAATGTTGCTCATCTGAACTCTGATGGCAGCATGATGAAGGCCGTCTGTAGTGAGAATGGGAGGTCAAAACAAAGTGTTCCTTTCCTGAACTAGAGAGTGTATGTGGATGGGAATTAAGTGCTACAGTAAAGATTTAATGAGAAGCTGAAGATGGCTGAAACCTTAAAGCCCTTTTATGCTCCTGTGAATGCTCTGTTTAGGAATTTTGTCACTTTTATGAACAGCAACTTGAAGTACTGAAATATTTACTGTCACTCCCAGCTTTTTATATCTTATTTAAACAAAGCATTTTGGATGAGTTCAGGGAGAGGGATCAGTTCCTCTTGACTTTTATTTCAAAAATGAAAAATGCTATTTTTGGGGGTGGAGGAGTAGCTTCCTTTTTTGTTTTTTTTTGGGAAGCTTATTTTTGCAATAGAAATTCTAAGTGTCCACTTGATTGCTGTTTTTTGAGTACAAGGGTGTCACAAACAACTTTTGTGAAAAATCCTTTCTTTAGGATTTTTCCCTTTTCTAAGAAGCTGAAGCCCCAGAAAGAGAATGTAAACAATGGTTATCTGCTGCTGTAGAATGCAACAGGTGCACCTGTGATTAACCCATGTTCCATGTTTACAATTGAGAGCCAATCAAAGACAAGCTGTCTCTGAGACAGAATCAAGGAGAGCTCCTTTATTAATTCATTCTTTTTTCTATTCTTAGCTTAGCAGCTTCTAAACTTCTCTCTCTATTCCTTTTAGTATAGTCTTAATGTAACTTATATCATGAAATAATAAATCCAACCGTCTAATCATAAAGTCAAGATTCTCATCTCTGTCTTCAACCTTGCAAACCCTGTAACACAAGGGTGATTAGAGAAAAGGGTAAGAAATTTTTTTCTGTGTTGCTTAGGAATATTTGACCTGGGTTCCATTTAAGTTAGGTGCAACGCAATGTTTACAAATGTACTCAGGTTTTACATGCAGTAGGACCTGAAACTCCCATATTAGTGCCCCTGGCTTGTTGATACAAAGCTCTCAGGCTTTGTGCTGAGCACGGGGGTGTTGATTCACAAGCTGTCCCTGGTCTCTTTCCCTGCTGTCCCACGGAACCCGCGGAGCAGGCGGAGTCCAATTTACTGCTGGAGAAAGATCTCTGCAGTGACATTGAAGGCATAAGTCAGCTCGATGGCACTGGGGACGTTTCTTCCAAGGAACAAATGCCACATACCAAAGATAAAGAAGAGAATGAATTCATTGGCTTTATTGATTCAGAGGATCTGAGAGTTCTGGATGATGAGGAAGACTATGATGAAGAATGTGACAGTTCTTCAAACATAGAGTCCAGCGGCAGTGACGGGGACAATGAAGACCTCCAGATAGACATAGTTGAGGAGGTAATTTACTTTTTAGCTTTTAGAAGCACATAACAATATTAGATTTCTCAACTGTTGAATTGTTGGATCTAGAACAGTTCCTGCTTAGTTTGATGCAGGGCATGCACAGTGAAGTTACAAACCTCTAGAGATAGGAGGTACTGCAGAGAAATTACTTGAAAGCTCATTATGAGGAGTATGGACAAAATAAAAAACTGTTGGAAAGCCATTTGTTTATTGGATGAATTAAAATACTTAGCTATCAGAACTAAAGTTGTATTGTAGACCCCTGGCCTCAGTGGAATGGAGCTTTTGACCTAAGTAAGATATTATTTAAAGAATTAGATTTAAATAAGATCAGAATACAAATCTAAGTTTCCTTTCTTTCTGAAGGACCACAGGGAATTAGACAGAAAAAAATGTGATACAAGAACTTTGTTCTCTGTTTAATCCCCTGTGTTTCTTTTAATGCCCTGTTAATGCCCTAGGTTTTCCTTTTTCTTTAAAGATATGCAATTTTGTATCCTATGGGTTTGTTCACAAGAGCATCAATTTGTAGCATTTGGACTTTACATAAATACAACTTGATCAGTATCTCAGTTACTGAATACTGCTTTATCACTTAGCAGTTTTGCTTTTTTGACTTGTGTTTTTGTTTAGGGTGTTTTGTGTTTTGAGAATGCAAATGTATAAAATGAGGTTTGGTGCTTGTAAATGAGGTTGGTGCAATGTGGACTTCACAGCCTCCAGGTCTTCATTTTTGCACTGGTAACTTTATTGTTCTGGGAATGTTTAATTCCAAGTACATTCAATGCTATTCTGAAAGAGTGTATAAACCAGAATTTTAATCTCTAGGACCCCTTGAACTCTGGTGATGATGTCAGTGAGCAGGACATTGCAGACTTGTTTGACACCGACAATGTGATCGTTTGTCAGTATGAAAAGGTACAGTAATCCACTTTTGTCTTTGTTCTTTAATCATCCTAAATAATGCCTGCACAAATCCATCTCTGCTTTCCTGTCAGTGCCTTTTGAAGGAACTCTAATGCTGTAATGGAGTGTTTAAATGATGTGTTTAGCTGACAATAGTCTGAAGGCTTTCCTACTGTTTTCTGAAAAGAGGATAATCGTAATGGGCTATTAAAGGAAAAGGGAACAACAAGTCTGGCAAAATGATGATTTGTAAAGATGCAAAAGCTTGTTTATTTCTCTAACTTTTAAGTAAGATCAACATCTCCGTGGATGTATGTAGGCATATTCAGCTGTGAATTAAGGCTTTTATAAAGGATAACAGAAAGAGAGGTGTATGTACTTTCTTTTCTTTTTTTTTCTTACTTGTCTTTGTAGTGCTCACTGAGAGATTTTCCTACCAGAATTTTGTTGTGTCTGAGAAACAAAGTAGCTGTTAAGTGCCTTATTGTCCACCTTCATTTTAATGTTTAAAATTCAGCCTTACTTTGAGCCCCTGAAGATCAAATCAAATCCTTTTAGCTATTGTATGGTTTTGGATGCTTACATGTCAGTAATTTAAAAGAGAAAAAAAGGGCATGTTTTAAAGCAGATATGGAATAATGTGTCTGTAGTTTAAGAGTGTGCCTTGACTTTTTTTAAAATATTATTTCAGAAGTACCTAGAGACAACTTTTTGTGTCTAACTACGCCTGTCTTAATGATTGTCTGTGGTTTAGGAAATGGAGAGGTGCTAAGAAAATTGTCTTCATAAAACTGTGACAGATTGACCTTTCCTGAGACCAGTTATTTTGGAAAGTTACAGGGATATATGTAGAAAATGCCTCTGAAATGAAGCTATTGGTGTCTGTATTGTATGAAAGGTACACCAGGTGTTGCAGCCTCAGAACTCAGACATTACAGTTGCCATAGGTAGTGCATACTGTTATCCAGAGCAAGTTTTGTCTGAAATAAGCTGAAAAAGTGCCTGAAAATCTAAAAGAAACTACTAGGAAGGTCAACACTGGGCATGCCTTACAGGAAATTTAATATCAGATGTTATTAGAAATTGAGAGTGACAGAAGCTGGGGGAAGATGTTGGTAGCTTTCCCCTTTGCAATACAGATTTAATGAAACATGTAGGCCCAGTAGAAAGCAGATAAAACCAGCTATGTCTGAAGTTTCCTTGTTACCTTTAAAACAATGTTGTTGATAAAATTGCTGTCCTGTTTCTTTTCTTTCTGGAATTGAAAACTGATGCTGACAATTCAAGGAATTTTCCAGGGATATTTAAAATTCCTTCTTTTAGTATTAAGCAAAACTTTTTGGAGTATGGATCTCTTTGCAGGCATTTAAAAAGAAACAGAATATGCAAATTATTTCTTACTTTTAAAAAAAAATTAAATAGCAGTATTTGCTTTTAAGCCAAGTTTTGGTGCTTTTAGATTGTTCCTAACACCTCTGTGCCTGCAACATTGCATTTTAGCTAAGCTACACTGGTTTGCAAGGTGTGCTGTGTTTTGGAATTGCCCTGTTACTGTTCTCTTGTCCTGCTGGTGTTGAGCTGTCCTAGGTAACACTTTTTAGGGGGAAGTTGTGGGATAGGAGAGTGGGACAGGATGGGACAAGATTCAGAAGGTTTCTCTCTTGGAGGGGCTGGGAGTTCTTTATAAACAATTGAAGTATAATGCTTCCATTGAATATTCTGGGTAATAAGGATTTTAAAATAAAAACCAGGTGTGTAAAACAGGTTGTGCTTAAATCTTGTTGGTTTTTTTTAATGACTGGTCTAATTTATATTTGTGATTTCATTAATTTTGATTATTATTTTTCATCAGATACATCGAACTAAGAATAAATGGAAGTTCTACTTAAAAGATGGAGTGATGTCTTTTGAGGGTAAAGACCATGTTTTTGCAAAAGCCACAGGAGATGCAGAGTGGTGAAGCTTCACTCCAGTATGTCCTTGAAGGCTGTGACATTATTTCCTTATAAGTTTTCTGTGAAACAATTGGTCTTTCTATTGTGCCGTAAAAAAACCAAAAAAACCCAAAAAAACAAACAAACAAAAAAAAAACCCTGAAAAAACCAAACCCCAAACCAACAAATCTATGATGAAAAAAATATGCAAAATCTGTGTTGTTAATTTGTGGTGTTAATCTGTTTAATTTGCAAACTAAACCACTGTACTGTTAGCTACTCAGCTGTCTTTGCTGTTCTTTTCTGATTATTTAATTTTTTCCAATGAGGAAGCATCATTGGAATGAATAGCTTCAAAGTTTGAAGTGTTATATCTGTTTGTAATTGAGGAAGGTAAAGAAATACTTAGTAATTTGTAAAGAACTACTTACTGATTATAATCAAATAAGTTTTAGTTCTGTTATTTTTTCCCCAGTTTTTAAAAGCTGAGGTATGAGTTGAAATATAAAATTACCCTTTTGTGTTACTCTTTTCAAAGACTTTTGAGTTGGAAAAAAAGGCAATATCTATGCTAGTCTGTAACCTGTGGCTGTTTCAGCTGCATATTTCTTTTGATTTTTTTTTAGTTGCTTTGTGTTTTTTGGACTTAGTTTAGAGACATGCACTCTAGATGCAATAAGGGAAAGATCCCGGAGCTCTCAATATATGAGAATTATTATTGTTTATTCTATACTAGCTATGTCTGCTGAGATGCAATGAGGAGTGTGATGCAACATTAAAATGTGATTTATTTTCACTGTCAATGCAAAGTCATTTAAGTTTGCTACTGTACATCTCCACTTTGTTCTAGGACTACAGACCAGTAAGCTGTGAATGATACAAATTGTGCATAATAATAAAAGTGTTATCTCATATGCTTTTCTAGCACAGAGTTGGTTTTGTGTTCCCTCAGTTTAAACTCTGCTTAGAGAAGTGGGTACAAGCCATGCATGTGGCAGTAGCCCACCCTACCATGAGATCTGCGTTCCTCCCAACATCAACTTTTTGTTAGTTCTTCTAGAAATAAAGGTCCAAAAGAAGCTTTGGGCCCTTGTCTTTCAGAGCTGCAGCTTTTCCCTGGCTGGCTCCTGTTCCTTGTAGGGCAAGATGGGCAATTCCATGGTAAAGCTGCAGCCAGGCTGCCTCAGAACAGGATCATCCTGCTGGAAGGGCAGTGCTACACTAGGGGACACCTCCCCCTTTGCTGCTACTCCCATGTCTGCTGGAATGAGACATTTTGCTTATCTCTAATCCCTGAGAGGGTGCAGAGGCTGGGAGAAGGGAAGGAAACATCTGAGGATGGGAGAGAATGAATGTATGGAAGAAACAAAGGGAAAAACCCCAGCCCTTGTTGGTAATGGTGCAAACCCTTGTGCTAATGCCACAAGGCAGGAAGTAGCTCTTCAAAAATTGAGTCTATTATGTGCTTTTTTGAATGCCTGTGCTACTCTCCAGTGTCAAAGACAGGACACTGAACTAGAGCACTTGAACCAAGTGTGACATTCCTTTTGTCTTTTATAGATGCTTCTGGTGGAATGTGAAGAATTGTGTGTCCAGAGGCAGTTAAAATATTGCAGTGTATGATTTCTTTTCCCCCATTCAGATGACTTGTAGCTGCACTGATGCTATGCTTCAGACCCATAAATGCACAAAAAATGCAGCTCTTACCACATGATAGATGCTCTTAGGTTTCAGCACTCTCTCACAGGCTCTGAGGTGCTCATGCTCTGTAAACGTGCACATTATGAACTGTGGGACCATTTCCAATGCCAGAAGAGACTGGGAGCAGAGGTAGTGTGGCACAGGAATCCATGGGGCAGGACTGGATGTGCACCATTCACTAAGCACCACAAAGGCTCTCAGTGGTGCTTCTGAATTTGACCTGTTTTTCCTGGTCACTATAAAATAAAGGGGCTAAAGAGTACTTAGTTTTTAGCTAGTTTTACAGATAATATTAGTAAAGAATTACAGCTTTGAACAAGACTTTTACAGCTAGATACACCTGAAGTCAGGAATTTTTATAGTGGAAAAAAAAGTTTCTTATTAAAATGTAAACTCCAGTCTGTGACTTGAACAGTAATCAGTGCTTTTGATCTGAATAGTTTATGAATTAATGTTTTTGATTGCTGCTACGTACAGTTTAGCAAACGTGTTGCTGCAGATGTGACAGGATGAGGTGTGTAATACCAGTTATGGCCTTCAAAGATACTTCAGTAAATGGCTGTCTAAAACTTTACACCAGAAAGAAGGTAAAGTAAAAATAATGAGATAGAATAACAAGGGTAACTTGTATGAGAAGATCTGTCATGAATCTAAATCTCTTATTAAAGGTTTACTTATTTGGTTATTTTTGTGCATAGACAAATTTTAAGTAAATAAATAACATTTGATGTTTTGTCAGTGGTTTATTTTTTTATACAGCAATTTTGTAAATGGTGGATTTCACTGCACTTGCAGCAGGTACAAAAAAAAAGTAAAATTCAGAGACTCTCTTGCTGCTTATCTGTTACTTCTGCAGCTCTGTAGGGCAGGTGCTATCAGTTGTTGTTAATTCTAACTCATCTCCCTTGCCTGTGGTTTCCTGACCGTGTTATGTAGTGGGGAGGGTGTGCTTGTCCTGCTGAAACATAATGCAAGTAAATCAGTTGTTGCCCACTTAAGATATTGTGCTGTCATGTCCTAAATTGTGTGCAGGACTCTTCCATGGGATGTCAGATGAAGAGTCTCAAAAATCAGTTTTGAGGTAGGTGACAGGGAAGTTTTAGGCCCAGTAGCTATTTTTTTCACCAGTACCTTTGGCTGTATTATAGTTAGATGTCCTATCACAGTCCTTTTGGATCATTGGCTAAGATCAGGGGCTGGTGTGTGTGAAGAGGTGCATCAAATGGAATTTGTATTGATTGCTAAACCACAGAGTTTTAAGTCTCCTCTGTTCTCAATCCTGCTTCATTCCCACCTGTGGAATTGCTCATGAGCACAGCTGTGCTTGCATCAAGAGCTTTTGCACTGATTGAAAGCATGGCATTATGCTGAAGGTAAGAGTGGGTCAGAGATGTTATTGCTAATTATCACAATTATGAACTAATGATAGACCAGTCACTGGTACAAAGAATTGCTTTCATTAATGTGAAGCAAATGTAGCTGGTGGTGCAGTGTTTGGCAACAAGAGGAGTGCTTTGAAACTCAGTTGCTGTCACAGACTTGAAAGCAAAGGACTCAGCTGAAAAGGAGAATGTAAAAGGTTTAAAGTGATTGCAGTAGTCCTGTTCTCTTATGTATCAGACTCTGCACTTCAATTAGCATGCAGTCACAAATCTGGACCAGGCATTTAGCATGATCACTTAGCATCAGGCAATGCATAGTGGAAGAGAGATTTTAATGGGAAAACATTGTCACAAAAAGGTAACTCTGCTTCATCACCTGGAATAGAGTCGGATTATGTGTACTGAAGAGGATCTGGTGCATTCCTGAATGCCACTGGTGATGTCAGAGAGTGGGACAGGTGGAAATCATTCCTGAGACTGTCCCAGGAGGGAAAAGAAGGCAACACTTCCTTGCCTGTGCAGGAAGCAGCTCTCCTGCTGCTGAAAGGGAGCCTTTACAGTTTACCTGATTTGTGTGTGCACATGTGATGCCCTAAATTGAGTCCTGTGCAGCAGAGGGGGTTTTGCATCTCTTGTGATTTCCAGATCACACATGGCTGTGCATGGGTTAATAATTTAAGTAAACTACCCACCAGCTCAGCCTGAGATCTAATATAAACTGCAAAATTGCCTGTGACAAAGGTTCAATAGATAAACTTTCCTCTTTGGTGACATCTTTACAGCCTATTGCTTGAATGCTCTTCTTTAACTGTGTGTAGGTGGCTGTGTAATTGGAAGTTTCTGTTGATGAAATGGAGGCTTCTAGTTTAGTGCCTCTTTCTTTAAACTAACAATGCCAGCACAGCTGATAGGAATGAAAAAAGAAGCTATGAAAGGTAGCAAACAGGCTTTAAATACTCCAGGGAAGCAGATCTGGAGAAAAAGAAGGCAGGCTGCAATCACTGCAGTACCTGTTAGCTTCAAGAGCCACTTGGCTACTCCTGGACTCTTCTGGTTCCCCACACAGAAAAGTTTTGCTTAATAGCCACCTTCCACACCTATCATCACAAAGGAGGAGAAGGGAAAACACCACTTTGAATGTCAGAACAGTTATGTTGCATAAGAATTACTGACCGGCATTTTTATTTATTATGAAATGTTCAAGACACTGTAAAACAATCCCTAGTCACTAAGATAATCACAACTGGCCTTGCAATGGGTAACTTGGCACTCTGGGTAAATTTTCCTTGTGAGATGTCTTGTCCCGTGGTGCAGGATAGGGCTTCTCTAAGGCTGACAAGAGCAGGAATGCTTGGGAGGCTTTGGTGGGGGCTGTGGCTGCGCCGCCGTTCTTGCAGTTGGAGTTATAAGCAGAGAAATAGTTCATCCTGTAGAGCTCTGCTCGGCTCTTGCAGCAGCCAAGCTTGCTCATCAGCAGGAAGAAATCCCTCCGAAAGGCTTTGGTGAAAATGGCGTAGAGGAAGGGGTTAGCGCAGGAGTTGACGGGGTAAAATAAAACCAGCAGGATCTTGGAGTTGGTCACCGTGATGAGAGGAACTTTGAAGGCAGCGGATATGGCAAAAAAGGAGATGGGGGCCATGCAGGTGAAATCCGTGAAGATCAGTATTGCCATTCTCTTGGCGACCTTGGTGTCTTTATTGGTGGCCACCAGCTCTGGGTTCTGCACGGCGATGTAAATCTTGATGTAGCAAGCACAAATGACAACGAAGGCGACGACATTGAGCACCAAGATGAGCAGGATGTAGGCTTGGGACAGGCCCGTTTCGATATCCATGGGCAAACAGATGCTGACCTTCATGTAGCTGCTGACCCCGAAGAGAGGCAGCAGGGCTATCCCGATGGAGAAGAGCCATCCCCCGAGCATGATGGGCACGGCGTGGCGC